ATTCCGGAGTACACCAGCGTGCTGTTCAAATGCCATTCCCATGGAACGCCAGACCAGCGTCTCGCTGCTATTCGGCAATGTGTCTCGTTCCAACTCATCGGAACGCCGATTACTGTTAAAATTGGACGTTCGTCGATCCGACATAGGAAACGCGAAATGTGTTGCCGTTAACGGCGTGCCGCCACAATCGGTGGCGATTATAGGTCTGGAGTGATATTCGGGCCGAGATTTGAACCCGTACAAACGCAAGTAACGAAGAAAATCGGCGAAGCGGCCGAACTGAAATGCATCATATCGGTGTACCCGTCGGCGCCCGAGGGAACCTTCGTGTGGGAATACCAGAGCAAGTTCTCGTCGCGATGGCAACGCGTCGCCGGTGACGTCACGCTGCGAGCCACCGACCTGCCTTACCGGCAAGCTTCGAGCTGCGAATAAGGCGGTGCAGGACATCGACCTCGGTCTATACAGATGCGTCGACATTACAGGACAAACCGCCGCCTCGGTCTACCTGGCCGCCAACGACGCGACGCCGGCTCCGGCAAGAGACCCGAGAAATTTCCGCCAGTGTTGCATCGAGCAGGGTCTACACTCCAGCTGCATGCCGGCGTGTTCCTACGACTGGCTGTCGCCGGACGACCTCCCCGCCGGCGTGCTGGAGACGTGCATTCTCTCCGCCGACGACGAGCACCTCGCGAAGCTGGTCACGTGCGGCGCCGACGGAAAGAATCACGAGCCGTGCTGCGCAAAGAAGGGCATCCGTCAATGTGCCTGCCGCTGTGTCGCGGCGTCACGCCGCCGGCCGATCTCACATCGTGCCTGCTCTACACGAGAAGATGATGACGTGTCTGCGTGACGGGCGTCACACTGCTGCCCGGTCCGCGAGCGTCGTGCACGGGCGCGCCGTCGTTCCCGGAACGGTGTCCTTGAACTGGCAAGCTCCCGACGACTGGCTGAATCCGGACAAGGTCAGCTTCTATCACGTCTTCTATCGCAAGCGCGGCGACGTCGTGTTTCATCGTCTCTCGCAGAACATCACCGCCTTGGCATGGAGCGTGGCCGGATTGGATCCGGGTACGGAGTACGAGTTCCAGGTCGAATCCGTCAACGTGCAGGGTCATAGTCTTCCGTCTGATCTTATCGGGTCAAGACATACAGCGGAGTGCTGGTGGGGGGTCTACAGCAGGTACAAGCTACCACCAATGTGGCAAACGAAGCTAGCCATAGGCGTGTTAAGCGGGTGATCGGCGTCGTCATCATCATCATCGGCGCTATTTTTTGGTAAGGAAGCGCAGGCCGATAAAGCTATCACTGGGCCGGTCACGTTCGAGAACCTGGCTATGACAACAGCCTGACACTACTGAAGGGGCGGAAGAAGCGACAGTGCACGGCATTCCAATCAGCAACCAAGCACCACCAACTAACAGACATGACCTTTCCACAATGGACGGGATAAGGTTACTTCAATCGGAGAAAGCCGTTTACTAATAACCTTGGGTTTTTTTTATAGATGATTGATGATTTGATTTAGATATTTAGATAATTTTAGATATATATATTTTTTATGGTAGAATGTTAGCTGTTATACCACAAGTAGAATTATTATGGCAAATTTTATATTGCTGTCGAACAGTTTATACTTTTATAGCAGTTTTATATACTGTAGTACGGCAAATATTCGACCAGATGAGCCTGTATTTTTATAGCACATGTTAGATATTATACACGCGTTGAGATTTTTTATTGTAGAACCTTAAATATTATAGGACAGTATAATATAATATTAGTATAATAACAATAGTATAAATATTTTCCCGATGAGCCTTATATTTTTATAGCACATGTTAAAGATTATACCACAGTTGAGATTTCTATTGTAGAACCTTAGATATTATACGACAGTCAATATTCTACATGGTGAATTCAAACTACCTTATTATCGATTATTTCACATTGTTATGTAAATGTGGGCCGTGTGCACGATTTTACAAGGCTATGAATGACTGGTTGTTGTCCTTTGATATATCCAGAAGGTATAGGTAGATATAGTTTATAATAGACGTTATATAACAATATATACATATCAGTGGAACGAATATTACATGTCGGGAGGCACCGTCCTATTAATGATGTAGTCCTGATTTAGAATATATTATGAATACTCTGACGAACTGATGTTATTTGGACGCGGGTTTCCTATACACAGGGTTTAATTTACTCCCAATTGTTTACAATAATAATCTTACACGATATATTATTGTGAGTGAAAATTATATCGTGCAAGGATATGTATCGGACGAGGTAGAGGGCGGGGATTATTAGTGGCCAGTGACAATCACGGCATATTTACTAGAGAAGCGAGCTTCCATTGAGATGGGTTAGCGTTCAACCTGTAGCTAGTATCTCCGCGGCTGTCCGTTGCTCAGGTAACCGGGGAGCCAACAGATGCAGCCGCGGAGACTGTCTCAAACAGGCCCGATGTTTTGGCTTGCTGCGCGGCCAATGGTGTGCCGGCGTTTTGCCAGCTGAAGATTTGCACATACGACCCTGATTTGTTCAGCACGGAAAGCACTAACTCAACTCTTTGTGCGATCACATATTTCGACAAGGCTGTGACATGTTTTGCGGATGGCAGGGATCACTCTGGTTGCTGCCGGTCGCGGGGGGTCGCCCACGAATGTGTCAAGTACTGTGATCTATCGCTGCTGGTACCCAAGCAGGAGTGTATAACCGAGTTTGATAAGATCAAATTGTGTTTCGAGGAGAATTACGAGATTCTTCCTGGACCACCGATCAACATTGCCGCGAGAAACATCACTGGGTTTTCGGCCATGATATCCTGGGACAAGCCAGCGAAGCTGGGAGATAGCGTGACGTCATACAGTATCTCTTATAAGGATATTCTTCGCAGCCCGACGTTCCGTAACACAGCTGAACCGTACGTCATCGTTCACAATGTCTCTTCGCCTCACGCACTTGCAGGGCTGGCCGGCGACTCCCTTCACAAGGTGTACATGATCGCTTACAATGCACACGGCAGCAGTCTACCGTCCGATAACCTACAATTCCGCACACAGGAGCTTCAGCCGTACGGCAACAACACGATTCCTTTAACCTCTCTCCTGCCGGTGGAACATTCGGGAGAAATCCCGGTCTTGCCAGACGAAATCGACGTACCACCCATTGACGCGCCCTCCCACAACGTCTCCGCGTGCTGCATCCAACGCAACGTGTCCGCGAGGTGTCACCACTTGTGCAGCTACGACGCTACGGCTAGCGAGATCAGTAGGATCCGGGCGCTGTGTGCTGACGACCTGGACACTCTCTTCGAGTGTTGGTCGGACGGCAGAGATCACCGGCAGTGCTGCCGCGACCGCGGCATGGCGACGCGCTGCGTGGAGGCGTGCGGCGGCGAACTTCTGCATAACATTTACCGCCAGCGCTGCAATAACGTTAGCGCCGACATGCTGCAGTGCTTCGAGGAGGGACTCGACATACTGCCGAAGCGGCCCGAGCGCGTTCGCGTCGAAGAGCTCAACTCCACCTGGCTGCAGCTGGCGTGGAACCCTCCGCGGGACAGCCCCGGGAACATCACCCAGTACAACGTGTTCCATTACCATGGCAACGCGGCCACGCAGCCGGACAGTGGCGCCTTCATGTACGTGACGATTCCGCCGGTCACCACGTCGTACATGTTTACGGGGTTGCAGCCGGGACAGATGTACGTGCTNTATAACGATATAACGATAGTGTTGATTCTGTTATAATCGAACTAAAACATATTATGTCAACACCAGAAAAATATGGCGCCGAAAATATCTTTCCATAGGCGGTTTAAGTTAGATGTTATTGTCGGAGCTCGTGTCGCGCGACTGCACGAGACTCAACCCCGCTTGTATGTTGCCTACATGAATGAGTACCTTATATATCTGTGAAATCTATCTGACCTTTTTTGTATAGTTTTCTTGAATAAGCACACATCTTACGTTTATAAGGCGCGCGAGTTCACCTTATTGCTAATTAATTCCATTAAAATGAAGTGTCGATGAAGAACGGGACAAGGCAAGCAAGTCATAGCTCTAGTACTATAGACCTATAATGCCGTGTGTTACATACGTCATGCAAGGCAGTTTGTTTATACAGTAGAATCAGGAGTGGATATTAGAGAATTATTATCCATTATAGAGAATATTATCCACTCCTGGTAGAATGTTTACTAGAGCTGATCAGTGAAGACTGTCGATGGAACTTCAGCGTAATACACCCCAGTGCAAAGATGACGGCACTATTACCTAGTCTTCTGAATGTGTTAGATGATATTGTGTAATCTGTATAGATAGGGTAGTATTAGGGAATACGAGACCCTTAAGCTCATTTTCATAATTTGCATAAACATGAATAAAGACGTACACTTAACAGGTTGTGTATTCTCTTCAGTAACTTCTACCTTTTAATTAGGTAACATACTTCTGTTTAATTGTGATGATGAAGACCTACACAAATATAATAGTCACAGAATAGACAACAAAGCAACTTGTCACTCTGTTATTATATAACCAACAAAAACACGGGTTTTTACGAAATATTCATTTTTGTGTGTTTTTATCCATCGGCGGCCAAATTTAGTGAACGTATACATATTCGAATCAGATTCATTTCCGGCACATTTTTGTTGAACGCAAACGGCATAAATATTCCCGCCATCTGCGGCTTTGTCGTAAGAGTAGTATTCGCTAGTCCATGACCCAACGGTCATTTTATCGACATTTCGGAGTACCGCTTTGAAATCATCACGATCATCATCGACATCCACGATGCTATGACCGACTCTTGAAACTATAGTGGCAAGCAAATCAGCAGTCGATCGCTCTCCGAAATACAGTTCTTATTGAATCTGTCGTTCTCGGTAATTCCCTGCGTCTTTAACCGCCGCCTGTTTTATGTCATCATGTCCCATTTGACTGCTGCAGCCCCTTGAGAATTTATGCTGGTGTTGCCCTATGTAGGCCTACTAGCGGGTTATGTTTATGGAAGTCCCACGAGAATCCGCTGCGCTGTACAGCAGGAATGGCAATTCCCTTAACTCTATTAGATGTTAATAATAGTAATAAATATTTCAACCTGCTCGGCTAGAACAAATGATGTTTACCTGGAAACCTACACACGGTATGGAGGTCAGCGTAATTCGTATAGACGTGATAGCATATGACTAACGCACACGCAAATACGCACACATACGTATACACACACACACGCGCGCGCGCGCACGCACGCACACAACAACACACACACACACACACA